GGAGGGTTTTTTCCTCTTTTTGCCAAGAAAAGACATTGGTTTCTTTCAGTGCTTCAGATATGTCACATCTAAAAGCTTTTGCATCATTTGCCAGAGTGGTTTGTACTACCCATGCTGTCCACCCCAGGAACAAAAGGATCTAATTGTAATCTGGTTTATGAGGGATTTCCTGAGGCAGAACATGTCAGTGTTATAGTAAATTCAGTCCTGGATGATCTTTATCCTGCCCCAAGCACTCTATGACAAAAATTGGTAAACAAATGTTGCCAGAAAAAGTTACCTGTTGTGGGTAAGGTGTTGTTCTGAGTTTTGCCTTCATTTTATTACTTTTGGGTTTGACTATTTTCCTTGTTTCCTGCGAGGTAGGTACTGAGTTTCTGCATGAAAACTGTGACTTGGAAATGGTAACCTGGTCCAGTGACAGCTGAAGTTCCTTATACTCAATATCTCTGCAAAAGAACAGTCCAATGAATTACATCCTCTAACCAGCCACACAAATCCAAAAGAGCTCCTGTAAAAACACATATTAGATTTCACAGTGTTTTAATTTTCATTCTTCCAAGATTTTTCCTGAGTCTGGGAATGTCAACAGGCAGGGAATCTTATGGTCTGACCTCATCCCCACACCAGTCTATCACAAACATTCTGACAAAATCAGAACACTGAGAACCACGTTAACGTCTTTGTTTCTGAACCCAAGCTGTGCCACCTTCTCTCAGCCCCCCATGGGCACCCTGAGGTTTGGAATCAGCAGATAGAAAGACACAGATCAATTAATTTTTCTCCTGCTCAGTCAGGAACTGGTCTCTGCCCTGGCTCTCACAATCAGCCCCAAGGAAGGGAAAACAAGAAATGTTCCTCTCCCGTCAGCATCGTGTGCTTGTAACTACACCATGTGAGGTGCAATGTTTTTTATCTTCTGATCACAGAATCACAGCATCATCAAGGCTGGAAAAGATTTTCAAGATCATCCAGTCCCACCTTATCCCAGCACCAACAGAATCACCCCTAATCCATGTCCCCAAGGGCCACATCCAGACACCTCTGGGACACTCCCACACACAGGGACTCCACCACCTCCCTGGGACACTTATTCCAAGGCCTGACTATTCTTTCAGAGAAAAAAAATAATTCTAATCTCCAACCTGAACCTGCCCTGGTGCAGTTTGAGGCCATTCCCTCTCCTCCTTTCCCTCGGGACATGGCAGCAGAGCCCGACCCCCCTCCCTGCCCCCTCCTGTCAGGGAGTTGGGGAGAGCAATGAGGTCCCCCCTGAGCCTCCTCTTCTCCAGATAAACCCCCCCAGCTCCCTCATAAGACATGATTTCTAGACCCATCCCCAGCTCCACTGCCCCTCCCTGCACACGATGAGGATTTATACAGCAGTGAGGAACATCCTTTTAGCTTATTGCACCTAAAAAGGGGGGATGTGAACAGAGAAAGGGGCTGTAACAGGCAAGCACAGAAAGATACAAAGAAAACCACAAGTATTTAACCAGTAATGAATCGATTACTGACGACATGGAATGGTACAAAGTATTTTGACTTACGTAAGGACATAATTGACACTCACTATGCAGTGAGGCCGTGACGAACGGCTGTTGTGCACAATGGTGGCATAGCTCTGCACCCACACCCAGCCTCCGTGCTTGGACAGCAGCCTGTAGTACTTGGTTGTGACTTGGCCTTTCACCAGCACTGTGAATACAATAATAACACACACCAAAAAAAATTAAAACAAAATAATTCCCGTTTCTTGGACTCGCGAGCGCTTCCTGGAAAGACTTATTCGCAAGGCAAGGGCTTTTTTTTCCTCCTTTGCTTCCCTGAAAACTCCTTCTCCTCCCACCAAACCCCCGCAAATGGATCTGTGCAGCTCCTTTATGTAGATTCATAATGTCACGTTATTATTTTCATGCAATATGTTGAAAACTCCTAAGGTTTGTCCTGCTTCTCTTCTGGCAAAAGAAAAGCTCAAGGCAGTAAAAGTATCTTGAAGGGGACACGGCAAGTTTGGAAGGAGCAGAGGAAATGGGCTTAAGTTAAGGTTCAAATGAGATATTAGGGAAAAAAACTTCCCCTTCAAGAATGGTCAGGGCTTGGAATAAGTGTCCCAGGGAGGTGGTGGAGTCCCTGTGTCTGGGAGTGTTCCAGAGGTGTCTGGATGTGGCCCTAGGAGACATGGATTGGGGATGATTGTGGTGGTGCTGGGTGAGACTGGATGGGACTGGATGATCCTGAAGGTCTCTTCCAGCCTTGATCCTGGGATTCTGTGATTTTTTTCCCAGTGTATTTGGAAGCCCTTCTGTCATTCATAGCTTGATAGATTGTTGTGTATTTTACGATGTATTTTATGCTATGATTGGTGTTTTTTTTTCCTCTGTGAGCTCTACATCTTGAAGGGTGATTTAAAAGGCTAAAATTAAAATGTTAACTGGTTGTGAAGCATCCAAATAAAGACAAAGACAGAGGTGAATCAGTTATCTGATATCTTTCACTACACATGTAATCCTCTCTAAACTATTTTGGATCCTCTGTGGACAAGGATGTTTTGACATGAGGCTGTGCTATAACAGGAGCTGTGCAACATCTCTAAACATTTGATCCAGCCACAAATATTTCTGGTTCAGTGCCAGGCATTTATCTAATGATTCACTAGAAGATGATGCCCAGCCTTCTAAGGTGATTCTTTTCTTGTGTGGCTCTGCATCATTCCTTCAGGAAACTCCCCCTTCTTACTCTTCCATACAATCACTTATTTATTGTAAATTAGGAAACCACGGGCTGAGCTCGCTGCACAAATTCTGTTCAAAAAAAGTGACCAATAGCAGCAATTCCTTTATATAATAAATGATTAAGAAATGGAATTACTGCTTGCAAATGCAGGGCTTGGACTAGACTGAACACAATAGCAAAGCTCAGTGTCATTTTGTGCTCTCCTTGCACATGTTTGGTGCAGGAACAGCTAAATTATAAGGAAGCTGAGAAGCAGCTTTCTCTTTCAGACAACTCTAGGAGAGCAAATCCCTGATAGAAAGGAAAATACTTGGCCTTACAATTTGTATTCATCGAGGATTTTTCTGTCAAGGAGAGCATTTAATATTAAACTGGGAACTAAAGAGTTAATAAGAGTTAAAGAGATAATATTTGGGGGGGTGATTGCTGTTTGGTAATTAATTATACTGCCAGCAGTCATTGCTGGGGTTGGCTTTTTTGGTTCAGTTGTTACATAAGGGAGTAGGGGGTTGTAATTTTAATACCAAACAGGGCCCACATTAATGTGAATAATGTGAATATTCTGATGTAAGACTGACAGAAATAGAAGTGCAAGGGGTTGTTGTTCTTGATAAAATGTCCTCTAAGTCAATTATAGAATCATAGATGGTTTGGGTTGGAAGGGACCTCAAAGATCATCCAATTCCTACCCCCTGCCATGGGCAGTGATGGAATCCCGTCCAACCTGGCCTTGGACACTTCCAGGGATCCAGGGGCAGCCACAGCTTCTCTGGGCAACCTGGGCCAGGGCCTCCCCACCCTCACAGGGAAATATTTCTTCTCAATATTTAATCCAAGCCTACCCTCTCTCAGTTTAAAACCATTTCCCCTTAATCTCTCATTATCTGCTCAGAAAAAGTCCCCCTCCTTTTCATAAGCCCTCTTAAGGTACTGGAAAGCCTCAGTGAGGTCTCCCCAAAGTCTGGAGTACATAAACCATCTCTTTGGACTTCTGACTCGCCCATCCATCCTCACAAGTGACAACATACATAAACTTTCTTCCAAATCCAGATAATCTCCCTTAGAAAATCAGGCTCTTAGAAAATGCCTGTAGACAGGTCATTCTGGACCTGTCATTTCAGGATAAGGTACCATTTGTTCAGGAAGCAACAAGATGAACAATAACATCTACAACTTCCTCCCGAGGGGCAGCTCCGACCTCTGCTCGCTGGGAGCAGGGACAGGAGCCAGGGAAGGGCTGGAGCTGGGACAGGGCAGGCTCAGGGTGGATCTCAGGACAAGGTTCTTCCCCCAGAGGGTGGTGGGCACTGCCCAGGCTCCCCAGGGCAGTGGGCACCGCTCCAAGGCTGCCAGAGCTCCAGGAGGGTTTGGACAATGCTCTGAGGGACAGGGGGGATTGTTGGGGTGTCCTGGGCAGGGCCAGGGCTTGGACTGGATGATCCTTGGGGGTCCCTTCTAACTCAGGATACTCTATGATTCTCTGATCTTGCAGGATATTCAAAACCCCACCCTCACTGGTATTAAGTCACTGTTATTTATGGCTTGAAGTCTCTCTCAGCTTTTTGCCCCATCCTTGATAGTGTCCTTCCTCACTCCTGCATTTCTACCTGGAATGCTCTGTGGGGTAGAAGTGTGCAGATGTGAGACATTTAAGACAATCATGAGGACTGTGTGTGTAAGCATGAAAACACACCCACAAAATATAAAGATGTAATCTTGAAGTGTAATTTATCACTCCAAGGTAAAGGTCCTGTAGCTGCTGCTTAAAAATTCAGTCTAACAGTGCCGAGTCTGTTCTAAAAAATATATCTTAATAATCAGCTGTATGCCATGGGTTCACTATTTCTTGTTTTTCTATTAATTGTGAATGATGTTCTATAGTTGTCCCACCCCTGGAAGTGTCCAAGGCCAGGCTGGAGCAACCTGAGACAGTAGAAGTTGTCCCTGCCCATGGCAGGAGGGTTAGAACTGGATGATCTCTAAGGTCCCTTCCAACCCAAGCCATTCTGTGATTCTGTGATTTTGTGATTCATTCCATAATCCAGATGGTCCCATTCCAGGAAATGATGCTTACACATTATCCCAGATCATCTAACAGATAGTTTTTGGCGTGTGGTCGAGGCTTTTCAGAACTAAGTCTTTGTGCTAGTTTAATGGGCACGTTTTCCTTGAGTTCAAAATGCCTTGCTACTCAGTCTGCTGAAAGAGAAATTAATGCTGTCACGGATCACTAGTTATAACAAAGTTCTTTCCTGTGCTTTGGGACTAGTTTTGGCTTCCTTTCTCTCTCACTGATACTTTTTTTCTAAATCCCTGTTTTAGCTCTGCAGTTAAGACAGTATTTTAAAAGATGTGAAAACCACTGAGGACTACAGTGTTCAGCTTTCCTTTGTAATTATATGGATAAACCAATGTTTCTCCTGGGATGGGGGAGGACTCCATGCCTCCTGCATTTTTAGCAATCTGGGGAAAGTCTGACCTTGGCTGGGGGACAGTAGCTGTGGTTCTGAGACAGTAAATGAGGTCATCTTCCATCTGGCTCTGTGTTAAATTGCCCTGTTTGATGCTGAATGGGAAACCTCAGAAATGGGAGCGAGGTCAATCCACTACCAAGACAGTCTGTGCAGGCTCAGACTTCTTGGTGGCCTCTGCTGCAACCCAACGGGGAGGATTCCGTGGCTTCAGCCTTGGCTCTGGGATGTGCCATTTGGAACTGGGTGTTCCACTGTTGTGGCTCCCTCCTGGTTTAGCAGAGGAGCTGAAAAAGGCACTGGGCTGGCTGGGCTGGTCCTTCTGGCCTGTCAGAGACGACTATTTTAAAAGGTTCCATCGGGCCCCCGGGCGTGTGGCTGGGAGTTCCCAGCCTGCCCTTCAGGATGCCACCAAGAGAAATGGGTTGCTTGGCTCCACGCTGGGAGCAGGTCCTGTTTTGTCTTCCCCTGGGCAGCGTGGGCAGGGGATGGTGCCCAGCAGACTCTGCAGTCCTTTGGACCTCTTAAAACCCAGTGCTGCTCTGCCAGGAGGTTTGGTTGCTGAGGGAGCAGCGACAGTGAAACTGTGCTCTGCTGCAACATAAGTTCTATAAATGCAAAGTTTGACTTCCAGGAGGCAGGAGAACTGTTTGGTGACGACACCAGCCGGGGCAGATGCCCTGCCAAGGGACAGAGATGTGAATCCTCTTAAAGTTTACGTGGGAAGAGCAATGATGTCACAACACGGGGGATGCACAGAATCCCCCTCACAGGTACAAGGGAAGGGATTTCTCTGAGGGCACAAAGATATTTTGTCTGGGCTGGAACAGCCTCTCCATCCCGTGTTTTAGAAAGCAAGATCCTCGTTATTTGTGTGGCCACACTTCCCTGGTTGCAGGGAACACTGTGGGTATTAATGGGGCTGCAGAAATAAATAACACCAGTTCAAAGGCCACGAGTGTTTTCATGTAGCTGGAAGCCAATCAAGAGTTTAAAACAGGAAACCCTGTTTGCTGCCAGCACACCTTAGGCAAACATCCACATCTCCACTTCCCTCTCAGCTTGATGTTCTTGTTACATCCCTTCTAACTTGTTCTCCTCACTGTTCCCTTTGTTTTATTCTCTGTGCTGCCTGACTTGGAGTTCAGTTGCTTTAGGTCTGCAGCTTGGGATAATTTTTTTTTTTCCCTCTCTGAAAAAGCAAATGATCACCCCAGTTTAGGGTTACTTTTTCTTCTCTTAATACCCTTATTAGGTGTAAGATGTTTCTCTCTGGCTTTCTTCATCAGATGACACTTCATCATCAGATTGCTTTAGAGAATGGTACCTCAAACCTGCCAACCTTCTGCTGTTCATGTTCCTAAGACATTTACTGATGGATTGTGGGGGAGCTCTAACCATGCTCCCCAGGGGGAGCTTGTACACTTTACATCTGTTTTAATAATTCCCATTACTTGGTATTCTAACAATGATCCTGCACTGTTGCCCAAGAATTTGCCATTGTTTTTTGCTTCTTGGGATTCATTTGCTTCGAAACTTTTCATAAACTCCTGCGCATGTCTCACATTTTTCTTCTGGTTTTAAACTTTACAATAACTTGTCTTTAATCTACAGAACTGCTCTTGGTTATTCTGTTTGGCTGAGGTCTGGGTTTGTTTTTTTTTCCTTGTGGAGGATGTGGTGGGTAATTCAGTAATGATTTGTCTCTTCATTTCAAACTCCAGGCATACACAGATCAAACTGGCAGCCAAAGTACAAATCTACCACGCACACAGAATTATCCATCACTCTGCTCTAAGGGGGAAAACTGTTTTTTTTCAGAGGTGATTGTGGCTACTGTGGTGTCCTCTCCACGCTGGTTGATAAAAGTATTTCAAACTGTCTTGTGAAAATAAGGAGGGATGTTTTGTGCAGGTCAACAGTCACCTCCAGATACAGATGGTAACTCTGCAAAGAGGATGATGCCCTGACAGGACTTTTCCATGTACCCTGGTCATTCTAGTTTTTAACTTTCAATGGCCCAGAGTATTCAGTAGTGTTTTGGTAAATATGACCTTGCTGTAAAGATCAGCTGGAACTTTCCCTGCCACCAACAGAACTCAGCACTTGGAATTTCAGTGCTGACTTGCCAAGCACCCTTACAACATCCTTCATATTCCAGATCCTCATGAATAGCAGATATTAATGTGAAGAATTGACTAGTTTCTCCTTCAGGAAGCCTAAAAGGAGGGTTTGACTCTGGCTGCTTCCAGCCTACAGGAGCAATCTGGAAAAAAATTCACTGCCATTGGTTTTTGGATGTCATCTTTGCATCGTATGGGTTGCAGCAGACTGAGCCAAATCCAGAGTTCAGCTATTCCCTCAATTTGCTTTTCAAATTAATGTGCTACTGAATGAACTAATTCCCAGATCCAGATGTTTGAAGATATGAGTGCTGTCTCTGTTGGAAGATGGGAAAATTATTAAATGCAATTATTTTTTTTTTCTGACAATCCATTCCCCAAACCTCATCCACATGCTAATAATGAATGTTCCTCTAAGGACTTTTTTGGGTTTGCATTCACTTCAAACACGGGATGATTATTACTAACATATTTCAGAGGAATGGGGAGCTGTTGTAGAGTTTTTATTTTAACAACAGAAGCTAGTAAAGTTCAGATTCTGCCCTCTCACTCCCTCACTTGCTCTTTTGGGGTTTTTTTTCCTCCAGCCATGCAGAACCAAGTCCAAATTTTCAAAAGAGCCCAGACCTCCTAAATACAAAGATAAAACTGGCCAGATAAGTATTTTTTTTTCAGAAGCAGGGCAGATTGAGTATTGAGCTTATTTGCAGAATTAATGGTTTCCTTAAGTGATAGCCAAGTACTTTTGAAAATCTGTCTCCAGTCAAGATTTGGAAAGTTTTTTTCTGCTTTTCATCATAGTGCTTTTTGTCTGCAGAACTTCTCACTCTACTCCATGTATTTCCTAGAAATGTGGAATCACAGAATGGTTTGGGCTGGAAGGAACCTTAGAGATCATCTCATTCCACCCTCTGCCACTGGCAGGGACACCTTCTACCAGCCCAAGTTGCTCCAAGCCCCATCCAACCTGGCCTTGGACACTTCCAGGGATCCAGGGGCAGCCACAGCTTCTCTGGACAACCTGTGCCAGGGCCTCCCCACCCTCACAGCCAACAATTTCTTCCCAATATCCCGTCTAACCCTACTCTCTGAAGCCATTCCCCCTTGTCCTGTCCCTCCAGCCCTTGGAAATAGTCTCTCTCCATCTTTCCTGGAGCCCCTTCAGGCCCTGCAAGGCCACAATCAGGTCACCCCAAAGCTTCTCTTCTCCAGGCTGAACAATCCCAGCTCTCCCAGCCTTTCCTCCCAGCAGAGCTGCTCCAGCCCTGGGATCCTCTTGGGGCCTGCTCTGGGCTTGCTCCAACAGGTCTAAGTCCTTGCTGTGCTTCCAGCCCCCACTCCCTGTACTTACACAGGTGATGAGCATATCGGAGGTGGAACACGTCACAGCCGTGGACATGGTGGTAGAGGGTTTTTTCTATCAGGTCTTGGGGTTCATATCCAGTTAATTCAGTGACCCTGGAAAAGGAACAATCCATAATAAACAAAAAGCTCCGGGAATATTCCATTTCATTTACCTAACATTCGACTGTGCCAACAAATCAGGTGCCTTAAAGCTGCGGGACAAAAATGTTAGTTTTGGAAACGGAATCCTCACCTTTATAAGAAAATAAACCCTCTCAACCCTGCCAAAGCAAGGTGCAGCTTTTCCCTGGTACACACAAGCAGGAAAAAGAGCTCTTTTACTTATTTCCACCTCGAGCTTTTTGCCATTACTGTGCAACACCTTTTGCATAAAGTTCTGGTCGAGGAGCTGTACACGAAACAATAAAACCACTCCGGTGGGCTGCTGAGACATTTCCATTTGCCTTTGCAAACATACAAGTGTAACATGTGTGTTAGTCCACAGGAGCTGTGATCATGGTTCTGTGAATTAATTCAGACTGGTGCCCAACAGCAGGAGGAAGCAGGAGCTTATTCCAGCTGGGAACGTGGAAACACAAGGAGGTGTGAAGACCACAAGGTAAAGGAAAGGAAGGCTGAAGCTTGACTTCAGAAAAACACCCTCAAGTGATGAGAAGTAGAAAAACTGGAGGAATTTGAAACAGCAAAGTCTCTGTAGATGTTAAAGAACCAGATGCACAGGTCAGACATTGGGTCAGGCCTGAAGAGTCAAACTTCATGTTTCAGAGAGTAAAATTGTTATTGCTGAGGATCTGCTGCACCAGCAGATGCAGCTGCTTGTTTAATTTCAGGACTTTTACTTAGGACTAGCTCTAGTCTAGGCCTGTGGACTGAAAGCTTTGTAACAGCTGGAGTGCCCTGGGCTTGCCCTTGGAGGTTGTCCTCCAGTTTGGACTGAAGGAATACAGTTTAAATGCCTAAGACCTCTCCATGGTATGAACTGCAGTGTTCTTTGGCTTCAAAAGGATGTCCCTGCTCTGAACTCAAGCACTGATGAGGATGCTCTGCACCAGAGACTAACACAGTAATATCCACAGAAATGAATACAGGCTCTCAAGCAACATTTGTCAATGGGGGATGCAGATAATGCAAATTTTTATTAGTTTTTTTGTTTCTTTTGTAACTATTATGCACCTTCTCTACTCTTACTCTGTCTCTAACCAGCCCTGGGGACCCCACAGAGACTGGGCACTTGACATTCTGCTTGGGGAAGTGCTGGGTGTTTGGATTCTTCTGAGGGAAATCAGAAAAACAACAACATAAAAATGCTTTTGAGTACTGATTTATTATAAATAGGGTAGAAATACATCCATACCTCCCTAGCTATGCCTTCCTCTGGTAAAGTTCTGCATGCCTTTGCCTCAGCCAGGGACTGTCAACGAGCAGTCAGCACGTGTGGTGTCTTTCTGCAGGAGGATATGGGAATTTTTGCCTGTGTTTCTCCTCTGCAGTGTGTTCTGGTCCCAAATTCTCACTTAACCCTACCAGCACCATGCTGGTGAAAGATCCTGCTCAGGTCCCAGTGCTCCTTCTGACTCCAGTGCAGTTGAAACGAGGGTGGCTTGGTGAGCTCAGAAGCAGCTCATCCAAACCCAAACAAGACACCACCAACCTAAGCCAGGTGTTCATTTTTCCAGAGGGCCCTGTCTCACTTTGAAGTTTTAAAAAGTTCGGGTCTGGATACAAACTCATCTGTTTTATTTCCTCAACACAAAATCCACCCCTCAACAGGGCACTGTAGGGAGCCTGGGCTCTCCAGGCTGTTCTTTGCACGTGACAGGGAGGAGGGTTTGCCCCAAGGATCAGTTTTGGCCTCTAGAATTCTTTAAAGCCTTATTAACCACACAGCAATGATCCTCTCAGGCACATGGTGTGACTCTTGGGGATGGTCCTGTGCAGGGTTAAGAGCTGGACTCCATGATCCTTCTCCAGTGCCCTCAATGAATGGACTTTTGGGTTTCATGTTATATCAGTGCCTAGAAAAGGTTATTGAGCTGCTCCTTCCCACTTTCACACTCTCTGCTGTGACTGTTACCTCTGAAGATCCAGCAACACTTTCCCTCGCGTGGATACCACCAGGACCAAGCCTGAAAACAGTTTAGTCTTATTCCCAACATGTCCCTGCTCTGAGCAAACAGAGCTTGGTTTGCTCAGCTGGGAGAGCAGGAGGTTTTGGCAGTGCTTAATACCCCCGATTGCCCCGTGTGTGGATGACACCCATCTGCTCTTTGGCAAACACAGCTCGGGGTCTCTCCTTGCTCCTGTCAACACCTCTGGTTGTTCTGGTTCCTTTGAAGACACTTATGTCTCCAGGCAGTTCCTCTCAGGCACATCATTTCCTTTTTTCTTTTTTTTCCCACATGCAAAGACATGTTGCTAAACCCCCTCGTGCTTCTCTGTAGCTGTTACATTAACTAACATGTGCCAAAAAAATAGGAATTATCCCAGAAACAAGAAGTTCTTTGTGTTTTAGCAGCTGATGGCCCACTGTCCCATGGACTCAGCACGGAGAAGGAACATGTTCCTGCATGGTTGGCTGCCATGCCAGACTTCCCCACTGTCTTGGATACAGATTCTTTGTCACTGCTGCACACAAATATAATCTCTGCTACTTGCAAATCCAGCCTGCCAGGGAAATATGGGACACAAGCTCCACAGGCAGGGATTTTTGAAGGATAATCATCTTGTCAATATTGTGTGTATTGGGCTTTTCCCCTCAGGTATCTTGAACTGCACTGCACAAAGTACCATTGTGTGTTACAAATTACTCTGCTTCAAAACCAGAGAAATCAATCATTTTAGTTCTGGTTCTGGGCTCTTCTCCTACGAGCTGAGTGAAGGCCCAGTTGTCTTTCCTCAGCAATAGCTGTTTTCCCCAAATTTTGTTTGTGAAGGCCGTGTTTCCATGCAGTAGAAAATGGAATTAATTGTCATGCCCACAACCCCATCAAGAGCACTGGTCTCATGGTTAAGGCACAGCAAAGTGCATGAGACTCTCTTTTCTTACTAATCTGTCAAAAGCTTTCTGGGTGACACCAGGAAGGCATTTGACTTCAGTGTTCCAGTCGTGGGGTGTTTTTTTCTGGTACACCCTCATTCCCTCTGCCAGCTTTGTACGTTAAAATCTGTGTCATTTAAGGTAAAAATGTGTCACTGCTCATGTGATGAAAACTCACTGCGAGAAGGCTTCAGACTCTCTGCAACCATAGGTAACTCCAGGTTAAATTGTCCAGGCTCCTATTTCTTGGCATTCAAGACAAAGCATGGTCTATCCAGCTGCCTGAAAGGCTTTGAAGACTCACATGGCCTTCGAGTTCCAGATCTATTTTGGCCTGCTTTATTTTTTCATGGATGTTTTGACGTGTTTGGAAACCGCCGTGGCTCGCGTTAACGCTCGACCTTGAAAACGTTTTGATGCTCGAAACGGAAGAGCTGCTTACCTGGAATCCAGGAATATCAGCTTTAAGTCCAAGCTTGCTCTGAACATAAACATGTTGCTGTGAAGCTTGATCTCGGTGATTGCACTGGGAGGTAAAGACTGACCTACAGCCACCAGCCCAACGATTTGGTAGCAGGAGTCGTACAGAGACATATCGAGCATGTACTGGCGGATCTTCAAGTAGCCACTGCAGTGGATCACCTGGAAGGGGAAGAAGACATAATTTCTGATGGCAAGGCAGCCAACAACTCATTTTCAATGATTTCATAAAGCCACACACCCTTAAAATACTAAATTCTGCTTAGTCTGTTAAAGCTTTGGTGTTGCGGTGGATTCATAAGTGGAGATCCAAACACAGTAAACACAAAATCTGTGTTTACTGCCCACATGATTAATCCAGTATTAAAGCACATGCTCTTGGGGGACTATCTAACTGATTTCTAGTTAATACTTTCTTGTAGATACAGACAGAACTCATGTTCATTGATAAAAAATCTGAAAGCTGCTTTTTTGCAACAACTATCTCTCACACACACATAAAAACATTTACATTCCAAGGAGTTATTCTGGTAAAAACCAAACACTTTAAAAATCCAGTGCATATTAATGCATCCCATTTATAAGGCTTGACTGCTGTATGTGTAAATGCACAAGAAATGAGTTTTAAGTTCTCTGGTCAAGTTCAGATGATATTCTCCTGACACACGCCCAAGCCCTGAGATCAGATTTCGGAATCCCTGTGTACAATTCCTAATCACAGAGGTGATAATGTCAGTGTTAGGCTGTAAAAATTCACGATGTCAGCTAAAGAGAAGGGGAAAATGTAACCTGGGGACTCTTCCAGAACATAAGATGGAGTTAATGTAGTGCTGGTGCTTGGAAATCATTGGTGCTCCTGGCAATTTTCTACTGCAAGCATCAGGAATACACATGCATCCTTTAGCTTAATTTATCTATTTGTTTGACTTTTAACTGTGTCTAATGGAAAGAAATTAATTTACTGTATTTACTATTCCTGAACAACCCATTAAACCTGTAAATAGGCTCCTCCTGTATAACCTTCCTTCCTCCTTTCCAATCACTAAGCGATTAATATATTTAGCAAAAGTACAATAAAAAGAAAAACTTCTTTAAGATCTCTCAATAAATCTGAATCCCCAGATCATTTAGTCCATGAGTTTTTCCTGTGCTTCACCTTATAAGGTGATTTTTTAAAAAATTAAGTCCTGACTCTGAGTACAGTCAAAGGGAATAAATTTAGGCCAACAGCTCTCTAGATAAATGAATCCTTTAATGTTTTACTGTGCAAACTTGTCATAGAGAGCAAAAGAAGGTGATGTCTCTGACTAGAAGAGGTAAATGGGAATTAAAATACAGAGATACCACCACTACAAGCTCTACTCTTTTACCTGATTTCACATTCAGCTCTGGGACAGGATCATTTTTGCTGGGAAGCAGCTGAGCAAACAGGGTTCATGTAATGAAGAATTATCAGTCCAACCAGGTAGGTAAATAAACAGACATATGGCTGCACTTTGAACACATTCCTTTAAGGAGCTCTGCTTCTCTTGCAAGCTTTCCTTTTTGGTTTGGAATAACTCAAACAAAAAGAATGCTCACCAGGCTGCATGTGAATTACCTTCCCTGATGGAGATAGAATTATTCTGTGTGGCTCCAAGAGCAGCAAACACACACTGCAAAGCTCAGGATGAAAACTACCTGCAAAGCTGACAATAAAAACTACCTGAGGGGCAGCTGCTCTCCTAAAACCTCAGCATTCGCTGTGGCCTCTGATTTCATGTCATAAAGAGAAAAAATAATACCAACAGCGACATTTCCAAACAGACTTAGTGGTTTAGTACAATTCAGCCCTGGGGTGATGGCCCTGGTTGTTTGGAATAACATTCATGTGGAGGCCAACGAGGTGACTTGTGCAACTGGGTGGCGGCTCAGCCAGAGGCTGAGGGATGTGGAAAGGCTCCAAATTCCTGTGTCTGGGTTCCTGCCTCACCTGCCTCCAGTTCCACAGGGGAATAAGACCTAGCTGTGTGCTCTCCTTGCAGCTCCGTGGCTGGGCTCCAGCTCATTCCCCAGCCTGGAAGAGCAGGGATCAAGACGTGGGAATGTGCCACAGAGCAAACTCCAGCTCGCTGTGAGAGGGTTTAGACTTGCATTACTAAGGGGATCTGCAATCAGGAGCGGGATTTTTTGGATCTTTACTGATTCTTGTCATCACAGATTTCACTCTCAGCTACATATATGTAAAAAAAGCAAACAAACACAACGAAATAAATAAACTTGTTGACTGTTGAACAACTGAGGGGTGGAACAAAAAGTTTATATACATTACCTTGTATCCACTGCACGTCAATCCTGCATTCCTCTTGGCTAGGACACACTTCATCCTCAGGAAAAATGATCTCTCAATTTCGTATTCTGAAAGGATAAACCACACTGCTTATTTATTACTGGGGATTTCCAAACTGCCCATAACATCCCCCTCGATGAGTTCACTGAGGTGTTTATGTCTCAGCCTCAGCCCTTCTGCTTCCCCACTCCATCTCTGCCCTCAGGATTTATTTTCACCTTTGTGTTAGAATTCCCTGTGAAAGTTGGACAAGTCAACATGATAATGCCTCCAAAATTCTGGTTTTGCCACCCTTCACAAGGCAATCACCTTGTTTTTGAACACCTAATACCAGTCCCTGTTGGTAAAGGGAAGGAGGAGTGTAAATGAAGATACTCTCCAAAATTATAAAAGGGAAGGAAGACAATTCAGTGAGTTTGGAATAAATTGAGTGTACGTAGCTGGTCATGCCCAGACCTTCTGGCCTCCATATGCAGCGTTATTACCTGTTTCACTGACTTCCAAAACCATTTTGGTAAGTTATTTTTAAACTAATAGCTTAATGGATAACCTCCAGAAATATTTTAGTATTTTTTATAGCTCAGGTACACATATATTTTCTGCTAGGAATATGTTAATATTATCTTTAATATTAATTATTCCCCTTAATAGTTCAGACACCATAAATAGTTCTGACTTTTTTTTTTTACTGAAAATGCAGTTTGGCAGAACACAACTATATAAAGACAAGAAAGAACTCATCTGGTACATCTGTGAGCAGGAAAATCGGGGAAGCAGAAGAGTTCCCAGCTTTGTTGCAGTGTGTGTTTCCTCCTAACTCCCCATAAAGTTTCCACTGTCATCACCTGGAGCCTTGCTGTGATTTAACTGCTCGGTTGTATTCCTGATTTTTGTGCATCCATCACCCAGTGAACCCCCTCTTAGCCACACACCTGCACTGGTTTGAGCCTCACACCACTACCTGGAAAC